GGTCCCGGGAGACCCGTCACAGCACCCCACCGGATTACCTCCCAATACTCCGGCATATCCGATAATCCGGCACCCCCTGGGTCCCAAGGGTGCCAGAATATTGGAAGTCTACTGTACACACACACACACACACACACACACACTGACTTCTGGTTGCAGTTATTGTAAGCACTCTGTGAACTGTTGAGCTGCAGAAAGGAGATCATGGATCATGCTGCCACTACTTGTTTCTGAAGCTTAAAATATACTTTTTGTTTATTATAATGGTTTGCTTAAAACTACTATTATTAAAAAATGACAGTATATAAGATGCCTCTTTGTAGGGCCACTGTCACTATAATATGTGAGCAGCTCATACATTTATGAATTTATTCTCCTCTCACTCTTCTGAGCTAAGGAAAGAAAATTTTCTTTCTTACAACTGCTGAACTCCAAGTTTGTTGTTTGTACTGACAACATCTATTCCAAATGCCTAGGAAATTCAAAATTGATAGAAGGAAACCTTTATTTCCACATAATGCACAATTAACTGTGGAACTCATTGCCCTGAGATGCTACCACAGCCAAAACCTTTGCAGGATTCAGATAGGGATAGCCTGTTTATTTGGCTATGAAAAGTTGTTGTTATAGTAATCATCGGGTGGGGGGAAGTGTTTTGAAATTGAGATAAACACTCATGTTTCTGGGCTTGATTGCAGCTATTGAGAGTTAAGAGAAAATTTCCCCAAATGGATAGCCTGTTTATTTGGCTATGAAAATTTGTTGTTATAGTAATCATCGGTGGGGGGAAGTGTTTTGAAATTGATATAAACTCTCATGTTTCTGGGCTTGATTCCAACTATTGAGAGTTAAGAGAAAATTTCCCTAAAGGCAGGTTATCCCATTGCTACCTACAGCAAGGATTTTTTTGCACCTTCTTCTGAAATCTCTGATGCTAGTTACTGTCCAATCATGGGTCTGATCCAGTGTGACACCTAAATATGCTATTGCAGAGCCTTAGTGATATGTATAATGTTAATTATGAACTTTGTCTATTTGTATTTATTGTACATTTTAAGGCTTGTTTTAGAGCTTGAGTTTAAACTAGGAGTGCCTGTTTACGTTAGCAGTTTGATCTTGGTAAAGTTTTTCTGTTTGTGATGATACTTAACCCAGAGATGTAATGAGGGTGTTTATTTGATTGTCCAGGAAAAGGCATATGTATTGTTGGTGCTTTGAAGAATGGATGGTATACATTAACCCTGGTGTCCTTTTCATTGGCTTGTTGATTTTTGCAATGGGATGGTATACATTAACCCTGGTGTCCTTTTCAAGGGCTAGTTGATTTTTGCAATATTGGGGAAGCCAAGGCATTTTATTAATGACCTTTGCCCATCTCTATGAAAGTAGACAGCACTGCACCTATTCTGCAGACAAACACAATGAGGCATAGCAGGCCAGACTGGTCTTTGAAAAGATCTTTCCTATCACAATGAGGCATAGCAGGCCAGACTGGTCGTTGAAAAGATCTTTCCTGCCACCTATCCTCTTTTGCTCACCCTGTACAAGTACCAGGGATATGTGTGTGAGTGAATGCCTTTTAAAAGTCTCATATCCTTGAATTTATATGGATACTGTCACCTGAGTTGATTAGTGGTGGGGTGCAGGAATGTGAAAGTTGGCTAGCTGTGTTTATAATCAGTAGTTGTCACCACAGTTAATTAGAGATGCTATAGAGTAGGCAGCGGATATGCTAGCAATTTCTTTGGCAAAAATTGCACACTCTGAAAAACAACAGCAGAGAAAAGGGATGGGAGGGAGAGAGGGAGGTTGGCAAAGTGAAATATCGGTCTCTGCATCTCCTTTGAGAGTTCATATTTACATGTCCCAAGGCTGACAGATCCAGATTATATATATCACTTCTTTATAAGACCTGGTGCAGAAAAAAATGATATCCCATTCCAAGGAGAACAAATACATAGCCAGAAAGCAGTGCCCCCTCTTTAAAAGAGTTTGCTGTTACACAAGGCTCTATCTAGCTGGTTTTAATTTCAAACTGAATTTCTAATCTTCATTTCCAGGTTGTCGGTGCAAGAGAGAAGATTTTTATGGTTTTATCGTTCCAGCTGCAATAATGAAAACAGTTCCCTCCCTTTGGTACTAGGCAGTGCCCCCGGTTGGGATCGAAAGAGCATATCAGAAATGTACATGATATTGAGAGAATGGAGCTTTTCTAACCCTTTGGAAGCACTTGGGCTTTTGACTTTCAGGTAAGAGAAAATTAACAAAGTAAGAAAATAACAGTCAACAGACTCCTAGTCTTCTGATTAATTCAGCACTCTGAGTTGCTCAGTACAATACCAAGCTTTGCTTCATTGGCTGTCTGCTTTCAGCTTTGTCTCTGTGTCAAAGTGAAGATGTAAGTGGAACTCTTGCACTGACCTTCAGTTGAATGCACTGACCCCACCTTCTTGGCTGAAAAGTTAGCTATTTTCAGGATAATGAAAAGCATGTTTCATTTTATATTATGGGTTCATTCATTTCCTAGTTATAGATGATCAGTCAGATACCTAGCACTGATAGCACTTTACATCTTAACACTGCTGTATAGACATAAATGGAGATGGGGCTGAACCATGCTGAACATTAAAGTGTGCATCTGGATCTGATCATTGCCACTGGCTGCTCTTTCTGTAATAGAAACATCCCAAACTTGAGGGGGAAATTGAGAACTGGCTTCTAATGTTAGAATCATAGGGCTGGAAGTGACCTCAGGAGGTCATCAAGTCTAGCCCTCTGCCCAAAGCAGGACCAATCCCAACTAAATCATCCCAGTCAGGGCTTTGTCAAGCCAAGACTTAAAAATCTCTAGGGATAGAGATTGCATCACCTCCCTAGGTAACCCATTCCAGTACTTTTCCACTCTCCTAGGCTATGCCTAGAGTACATCCCTCTGTCGGCAGAGGGATGTAAATGAAGCACTTTGAAAGTGCAAATGAAGCTGGGATTTAAATATCCCGTGCTTCATTTGCATAATCACGTAATGGCGCTCTTTCGAAAAAGCGCTATTTCAAAATTGCAATGGCAGGCTAGACACGGTTCTTTAAAAAACGGGGCACTTTTTTGAAAGATCCTGTAAACCTCAAGTTTTTCGAAAGATCCGCATCTAGACTCCGGTTTCTATTTCAAAATAGCAGTTTTTCGAAAGAGCGCCATTACATGATTATGCATACTCAGGTGCATACTCAGCCATGTCATAGCCCCTGCTACTGTGCCCATGTTATTGTTTCTAAAGCAAACTTTTACATAGCTAGAGCAAAGCTTGCTCAGGCACCCCTACAGGTGGCACAATCACACCTTCCAACTGCAGCACACCCTTACAAGATGCAATGTGCACTCCACTCACTCTGTCCAGCTCTGGAGCTTGGCATGAGAGTGTGAGGAGATAACATAAACCTGACTCCTCCAATGCAGCCTGTGAAATGGCTGGCCGAGAGTGAATACTTGTCCTTAGGAAGTCCTTATCCGTAGAAGGTTCCCTTAATTACACACCATCACAGGAAATGTGCTTACTCCGGTCTATTATTTACAAACATATTAACAAAAGAGATGAGAGATCTCAACAGAAGTCGTCTTTCCTTTATTCTTTTATTCTGTATTTAATTAATGCCCCTAACATGTTGTCTATGTGTTTAAGGTAAATTGGGTGAGAAGTCCTTGGAGCTTAGGGGGAGTACACTGCTCTCTAAACATCCATTTTTAAAGAACCAGTTTCACAGATGGTTAAACTTCTGTAGAGCAGGGAGATTCAGCTAGGTGGGATTGTGGTGTCTAGTTTTTAACCTATTAATTGCCAGTGAAGTAGCAGCAGTGTTTGAATTATTAACTTGGCTTCACATTCCCATTCTGACCTTCAATCAGTTTGGATTGTTGGTACATTGACTAAGCTGTTTGAATTTCTCTGATCTGCGTTATGCTGGGCTCTGGTAGTTTTTACCCTCTGCTCCCCATTTCTCAGAGCAACAAAATGTTCTAATTTTTTTTGACTAGAGATTAAACCATAAAAGGAGAGCATTTGCAAATAAAAGGTGAGATGTCTCTATAAACATGCTTCTTATCTCAGTGTGTGTTTTATCATGTGAGCCACTAATAAGTATTTTTCGTTTAATTACAATCTTGTTCCACAAGGACTGAAAGGCTCAGGGCTTGATAATGGGGTCTTTGATCTCTGGTTGCTATTTCTAATGTAGTCCAGTATGATGGTAACTGGGCATCATTACAATTTGATTGTTCAGTGGCTTATGTATATGAAATGAGTTGGCTGCTCTCTCTGGATAAATTTCTACATCACATCCAAAAACCGATGACTCAAGATTTTCAGAAGTCACCAGTAATTTTAGATGCTTCAATTTTTGGTTGATGTAGTTTTGGAGTGCCCAATTTGAGACCTCTTCGGGGACCTGGTTTGCTGCAGGTGAGTGCTCAGCATTTTCTGAAACACAGGCTGGGTATCCAAAAATCTCTAGACACTTTTGAAAGCCTTGTGCTAACATAGCTCAATTATCTGTAGGGCATGGCCTTCTCAAAAAAAAAGGTTAAAGGATTATTTCCTGAGCACTAAGCTTACTTTTTTCAAAGAATAAGAGGAAGTAAGAGGAATTACAGGAAATAACACCCAGCTGTCTTGATCCTAGGAAATGTGTACATCTCATGGAATTTAGGAAGCATTATAGATGCTCTGGGCCACTCTGGATCAAGCCCCAATGTCCAGAACAAAGAATACAACTCTCTCTGCTATATTCTGTAACATCAGCTACTCACAAGCCAGCTAAGTGTGTATTTTAATAGATGCATCTCGTTCTTTTGGCATGTCTCTCCCTTTGCTGACTATCTTCCCTATTTTGAAAGCTTGACTCCAGGCAGACTAATAATAAGTTAATCGTTTAAGCAGTAGAAAAGGAAAACTTTCATAAATTGGAAGCACATTCACGCTACATTTCACAAGTAAATTTGGTGCCAGTCTTGCATCCCAATACATGCATCAAGCATGGACTCATAGGGCCTCCCTGAAACTTTTCCTTAAAAACCAATTTAGAAAGCATCAAAGAGCTCTTTAATGAAAGGAGGGTAGAGTGCAGAATAAGATTTTATGCTCTTAGTTTACCTCTAATTTCAAGGAAGGTTGATTACAAAGTAGTCTGAAAAAACACACATTTTCCCAAGGCAAAGGGTAGAAAACTGGTCCCTCCTTTCCTGCACTCGATTCTCATCATTGACTTCCCTTATTAGCCCTCCTTGGGAGAAAGTCCAGATTTTAGTTGAACTCTTAATGTCTCTGCACAGCATTCCAGTCAGGGAAACGATGTAGGAACAATGATGGTGATTAGAGAAAAGCTAAATGCAGTGTTATCAATGTGGCAGGCATATTTATATACTGTGTACATATAGGGCAGGTGCACCTAAAAATTGTCAGGTTATTTTGCTTTTCAGATTACTTAGTGTGTGGTTTTATATTTTATATATATGAACACATCAGGTAACGTGAAAAACAAAATAATTTGATAGCAATTTTGAGTGTACCTGAAACATCAGAGCTTTACAGCACCCAGCAATAGTGCTCCTCTAAAGATGTATCGTATCCTGCCCATACTTATTAGGACATACCTGCAATGTAATTGCAACCATGTAATGTTTTTCACTGAAAATTTGGAAATAACACCAGAAGAACAACATACATAATTCCCTAGCACAGTCCAAGCTGTGCGCCAGAACTGGAATGCTGACATCTGTTAACAGTGGCACAGTGGAGTGGAGAAAGAAAGTAGCTGGCATAAGAGAGAAATGCAAATTTATCTGCAAACTACAATCTGGATACTGATTGGTTGTATAACTGCAGGGCTTAGGGACTGGAACCCAGAGAGGCAGAGCGTAGGATGGCTGGAAAAACCATTTTTGTGCCCAGGTTTAATTAGCACTGTCCAGTTGAGGAGAGTGGGATAAGAATGAGGAGTCAGGGTTGAGAGAATGGGACAGAATGGGTCAAGTTTGGGGGAGGAATGGACAGAAGGGGATGTGTCCTCTTGAGTCTCTCTGGGTGGGTCTAGATTACAGGGGTTTTTTCTAAAAAAAAAAAAAAGTGCGAGGTGCCGCTGGGGCGAAAATGTTCCTGCCTGCAACCTGCAGTACAGATAGGAGTTGCGGAATATGCGAGCATCATGTGCCCGGCCCGACCACCCGACACAAATGTCCATAAAATGTCCCCGGTGGTCAACCAACGCCTACAGCATAATGGACTAGTAGCCCTTCCTGTTTATAAAATGGGCTGCTCGATGCAGCGGTGCGCGGATTGCGATGTGTCCCCCATCGAGGGCTCCTCTGCAGTTTGGGAAGCCAAGGGCGGCAAACCCGGCAATGATGTTGTCCAGATCCCCGAGACGGATGATCCTCTTCAACAGCTCCACATGGATGGCCCTCACCACCTGTAGCATAGGACTAAGGGGGTTAGCTTTCAGCATCATCACTAGTAAGTGTTCCAGCATCACTGAATGACAAGATATCCAGTATATACTGGCAGACAGTTGGAGCTGTGACTGTACGTACAGAGGCAAGTTAAGGGAAGAATAAACATTAGATAGTTGAACCATGTGGGATGAGATTGTTTAGAGCGAGATGAGAAAGGGATCAAGGGCAGAGCGCTTACAGATGCAAGCAAAGTAGGGGGAATAAAAGGAACTATCAAAGGTAATACTGAAGAAACAATTTGAGCAATATCAGGTGAACACAGGGCCCTGGAAACCAAGAGAGGAAGTATAATCAAAGAAGAGGGAATGATCTGAAGTATCAAAGGTAGGAAAAAGATTAAGAAGGACCAGATTAGAGAAGTGGCCCTGAGACTTACCAAGACTGTCTTATTGGAGCACACTTGTAAGAGCAGGTTTAGTGAAGAAAAGAATGCTGAAGTTAAACAGAAGAGGATCCAGAAGGGAATGTTGCATAAGGTCCTGGTTACATGTCATTCTCAAATGAATAATATACGTCGTCCCAGAGCTGCATGATGAGCTTATCCCACCAGTCCAAATTCGTCTCATGCCTCCAAATTTGCCTGTCCCCAAAAAAGTTTGGGGGTAAGGACAGAGCTCCTGCATCCCAGAGGAGGGTCTCCTTGGTGCGGTCCGGGTCCTTATGGGGCAGGAGCTTCATGACAGAGTCATGAAGATGCAGCATGGCAGCGTGGGGCCATTGCCTGCCCAGGGGCAGCTCAGGCTCCATGGCTAAAAAGAGTGAAAAGCAGAAAAAAAAACCCAGGAAATAAACTGCTGTGGTGTCCAAGGAAGCAGGGCAACCAAAGCAAGCACTGCAGAAGCTTTGCTTTCCCTCTAGGAGGTAGGCAAGCCAGAAGCAGGAGCAGAGCAATGGCTGTCCAGGGGGGTCCCTTTAAGCACATGTCTCTGCAAAGGGCATTCAGCAGCACCTGGAAATAAAGGCTGCCCCCATGCTCTGCCAGAAGCACTTCCGGGTGCCTTTTTTTTTTTTTTTTCCGACAGAGCGTCCGGCAGTCTGGATGCTCTTTTTTGAAAAAGCAGATCGATTTTTCGATCCACATAATGTAATCTAGACGCTCTTTTTCAACAGAGGCTTTTTCGAAACATACTGTCAACAAAGCCTCTGTCGAAAAAGGCCTGCAGTCTAGATGTAGCCTCTGAGTCTGGACTGGAACCCAAAACATCTGACTGTCACCGTTCCTCAGCTGTCAGTAAATAGCTGTGAAACCCATTGGCAAGGTGTGTTGCCCATTCCCATCTAGTGCTTCCACGGAGAGGAAGACCATCTGCTGCTGCTACTTAATTAGCACAAGTGGTAAAGGTCTGGCTTTGGGAGTTCCAATCCTGCTGTTGAAATACCATATGGTAGAATTTTGTGGGGGGTTTTCAGTTTGTTCTTTTGAAACACCTAAAAATTAAGCACAATACCTACTGTGACAGGGTCAGGCTGGAGGACTATAACTAAGAGGGAGAAAGGCAGCTCTAAGGCAGCAAGAGCACTGGTCAATCAGGAGCAAAGGAGATAGGGCTGCTGTTAATTAATCAGGGCCAGCTCATTTCACCTGAGGCTGCCATAGATCCTTTAAAAGGAAACCCTCCTTGCAGGGAGGGGAGAGAGGAAGTGGCATGAGAGGAGACGAAGAAAGATAACAGCAACATTGCCAGAGATAGCACAGTGAAGCGCTCCAAACGGGTTTTAGGCTCACCTTTTCTGGGCAGCCTGACAACCCAGCTGAGAGCTGGAAAGGACTGTTTTGGCAGCCCAGGCTGTCCCTGGGGCACTGACCCCAATGCACTTGGTAGCTGAGGGACCAGAGCTTAAACCCATCCAAGGGCTGGTAATACAGTACGGAGACTGCCCATTAAAGGACTGAGCAGGGTACTGGGGCCCAGGAGTGGGGTTACCCTGCCACACTACATTATTCTGGTTGCAAATTCACGTCTTCAAAATGTTGAAATGTCATAACTAATTGCTTGTGCAACCTTAATTTGACACTTTTGTGTAAGTGCATTGTAATAAACTCTTTACTTACATGACCACACACTTAGAGTATCAATGCACATCTGTAAAAATATCAATGTATACATATAGGTTACACTCCATGGTCACCAACAGGTCGATCGCAAAGCGTCCTGTCCCCCCCGCCGCATTTCCCTCCCACCCCCGAGAAGTCCCACTACCTACCTCCAGTGAAAATGGAGGTAGTGTAGGCTTCCCGGGGATGGACAGAAGTCCCACAGCTTAGTGCCACTTCTGGCGATTCTGGAAGTAGCACTAGCTGCTCTGCCGATGTACTGTGGGAGGGAGTATCGGCTCCCTGCACTGCACAGGAGGGGGGGGGCAGCCCCGGGCGCCAGGGGGGGTCGTCCCCAGGGGAGGCGCATGTGGGGTTTTCCTGCGCCGTGGGGGTCGGCCTGACCCCGGGGCAGGCTCGCGCAGGGCTTCTCTGCGCCAGGGGGGAGGGGGCCCCCGGGGCAGGTGCACACGTGGGGCTTCCCTGTGCCGGGGGGCTGGCCCCAGGGCAGGCACGCGCTGGTTTCCCTCTGGGGGTGGGGGAATCCTGGGAGGAGGCAGATACAGGGGACTCTCTGCCTCCCCTGG